AATTGGGGGGGATTTGGGGGGGTTTGGGGTCATTTGGGGGAGTGGGGAGGGGGATTTGGGTTATTTGGGGGGGATTTGAGGGTTTGGGGAGATTGGGGAGGGGGTTTGGGGTCTTCTGGGGGGGCTTGGGGGGTCTTTGTGGGGTTTCCTGGGGGGGTTGGGATCCCAGGGATGGATTTGGGATCCCAGGGATGGATTTGGGATCTGAGGTCGGGATTTTGGATGGATTTGGGATCCCAGGATGGATTCTGGGTGGATTTTGGGATCCCAGGGATGGATTTGGGATCCCAGGGATGGATTTGGGATCCCAGGGATGGATTTGGGATCCCAGGGATGGATTTGGGATCCCAGGGATGGATTTGGGGATTTTGGATGGATTTGGGATCCCAGGGATGGATTCTGGGTGGATTTGGGATTCTGGATGGATTTGGGGATCTGAGGTTGGGATTTTGGATGGATTTGGGATCCCAGGGTGGATCCCAGGGATGGATTTGGGATCCCAGGGATGGATTTGGGATCTGAGGTCAGGATTTTGGATGGATTTGGGATCCCAGGGATGGATTTGGGATCCCAGGGATGGATTTGGGGATCTGAGGTTGGGATTCTGGGTGGATTTTGGGATCCCAGGGATGGATTTGGGATCCCAGGGATGGATTTGGGACCTGAGGTCGGGATTCTGGGTGGATTTGGGGATCCCAGGGCGGATCCCGGATGGATTTTGGGATGGCAGGATGAAGGAGACGGACTCTCGGCGCCTGGCTGACGAGTACCGGCGCCTGGTGCAGGGGCTGCGCGAGGCCGGCGCCGCCCGCGACTCCGACCTGCTCCTGGCCAACCCCGTCCTGCCCGACGAGATCCTGCAGGGTACGGGATCCGCCGGGATCCGCCGGGATCCGCCGGGGTCTGCCGGGGCTGTGGGAGCCCCCGAACCCTGCGGGATCCACCCCAAATCCCCCGGGTTCCTCCCTCTCCTGAAATCCCCCGGGATCTGTTGGGATCCACCGGGATCCGCTGGGGTCCCCTGGGGCTGTGGGAGCCCCCGAACCCCGCGGGATCCACCCCAAAATCCAGCCCAGGGAGAGATTTTGGGGTTTGGGATCCGCCGGGATCTGCTGGGATCTGCTGGGGTCTGCTGGGGTCCCCTGGGGCTGTGGGAACCCCCGAACCCTGCGGGATCCACCCCAAATCTTCAGAGCCCCCTCCCCAAAATCCAGCCCAGGGAAACCTCTTGGGGTTTGGGATCCTCTGGGATCTGCTGGGATCCACTGGGGTCCCCTGGGGCTGTGGGAGCCCCCGAACCCCGCGGGATCCACCCCAAAATCCAGCCCAGGGAGAGATTTTGGGGGTTTGGGATCCGCTGGGATCTGCTGGGGTCCCCTGGGGCTGTGGGAACCCCCGAACCCTGCGGGATCCACCCCAAATCCCCCGGGTTCCTCCCTCTCCTGAAATCCCCCGGGATCTGTTGGGATCCACCGGGGTCCCCTGGGGTCCCCTGGGGCTGTGGGAGCCCCCGAACCCCGCGGGATCCACCCCAAAATCCAGCCCAGGGAGAGATTTTGGGGTTTGGGATCCGCCGGGATCTGCTGGGATCTGCTGGGGTCTGCTGGGGTCCCCTGGGGCTGTGGGAACCCCCGAACCCTGCGGGATCCACCCCAAATCTTCAGAGCCCCCTCCCCAAAATCCAGCCCAGGGAAACCTCTTGGGGTTTGGGATCCTCTGGGATCTGCTGGGATCCACTGGGGTCCCCTGGGGCTGTGGGAGCCCCCGAACCCCGCGGGATCCACCCCAAAATCCAGCCCAGGGAGAGATTTTGGGGTTTGGGATCCACCGGGATCTGCTGGGATCTGTTGGGATCTGCTGGGGCCGTGGGAGCCCCCAACCCCCGCAGGATCCACCCCAAAATCCCGCCCAGGGAGAGATGTTGGGGTTTGGGATCCACCGGGATCTGCTGGGATCTGTTGGGATCTGCTGGGGCCGTGGGAGCCCCCAACCCCCGCAGGATCCACCCCAAAATCCCGCCCAGGGAGAGATTTTGGGGTTTGGGATCCACCGGGATCTGCTGGGATCTGTTGGGATCTGCTGGGGCCGTGGGAGCCCCCAAACCCCGCAGGATCCACCCCAAAATCCCGCCCAGGGAGAGATTTTGGGGTTTGGGATCCACCGGGATCTGCTGGGATCTGTTGGGATCTGCTGGGGCCGTGGGAGCCCCCGAACCCCGCGGGATCCACCCCAAATCCCCCGGGTTCCTCCCCCTCCTAAAATCCCCCGGGATCCACCGGGATCCCCTGGGATCTGTTGGGATCCGCTGGGACAATGGGATCCCCCCAAACCCCTCGGGAAAATCATTTCCCTGGGGATTTGGGGGTTTTTGGGGTGAATTTTGGGGTTTTTGGGGTGGATTTTGAGGTTTTTGGGGTGGATTTTTGGGGGTTTTGGGGTGGATTTTGGGGTTTTTGGGTGGATTTTGGGGTTTTTGGGGTGAATTTTGGGTTTTTGGGGTGGATTTGCGGGTTTTTGAGGTGGATTTTGGGGTTTTGGGGGTGGATTTTGGGGTTTTTGGGGTAAATTTTGGCGTTTTTGGGGTGGTTTTTGGGGTTTTTGGAGTGGTTTTTAGGGTTTT